CGTTGAAAAAATTTCAAAAAATTTCAATTTTTAAAAATTCAAAAGAGCTGTTCGAACATATCAGCTCCTTTCAAAAGAACTGTTCAACAGTTCTTTCGCTCAAATGAGCTGAACTTATGAGCTGAAACTGTTACAGGTCTAGTGTAGAGGGTCCATTTTGCGCCTTGGTCTCCAGAAAACTTCGGAACGCTGAGGTATAGTGGCGAAAGACAAATTTCACAACTTTACTTTTATGTGGAAAGTGTCGTGGCAATCCCATGCACTGTATCGAAAATCGATTTTGGATGGGGAGTGGGAGGGTCTTAAGAGCGTAGTATAAGGAAAGGTTTAACTTTCTCATTTTATGAAATAAATGATGCAGACGGCTTGTCCACGTAACGCGACACTTCACTGATTAAGTTTTTAAAAAATTTTTATTATCCAAGAACTGATATGAGCACATCATTAGACGCAGTTTTTCGCCCTGATTACGAATCTGACCTCCTTAGCAAATAAACATAAAAATTTTAGTGGAATAATTTTAATTTAAAAGTTTTTGACATAGAAAGCTTTTTAAAATTTTAAAATTTACACCATTCGATAGAAAATTAAATTCTCTACAAAATAACTCATTGTTTTCGACAATTCGACTTTAGGAATAAATTTATGCCTTTTCAATGTTTCAAGGTTCCAGTGAGGTTTAAAAGCCTGAAAAAAATGTTTCAAATTTGTTTTTCAGATAAGTCGATAGAATATTACCAAATCTATGGCAAATATAAAAGTCAAATTTCTTGGAGAATATTAAGTGCCTGCCACGAGTCGTTAGATGTAGTTTTTCGAGCCCTTTCTAATGGTGATGTCCATTTTACCGCAAAACGTGGTCATTTTTCCTTTAATCGTTTTTACGGCGAAATCTCGTGTCTTATATCCCGATCGGGATATAAATTAGACTAAAATCTGTGTTAAAGGTTTATGTTCGAAAAAATAGTTGCTGGGTGCTTGATGCACTTTTGTTCAAACACAACAGAATCCGATGTAGTTTGTCGAGCTCTTTCAAATGATGACGTCAATTTTTCCCCACAACGTCGTCATTTTTCCCTTAATCGTTTTTACGACGAAATTTTGTATTTTATATCCTGATCGGGATATTAATTTTTTTCTATATCCTGATCGGGATATAGCTATACCCTCATCGGGATATATATGCCGATCAGGATATAGGAGGTATCCCCTTACTGTCTGTTCTATGAACTATTATCGGTAAAAAAAAGAATGGACTCGGATGTTTTTTGAATAACGTTTGACAGAAAAGTGGCAGATGCTTGCGGCCTTCACTAATCGAAAGCTAGGACCTAACTGCATCGTTTCACACTAAAAATCATTTTCAAAATCTTTCCGTTCTTAAAAAAACGTTCTTAAATCCTTAAACAGAGAGTGCCACAAGACTCAGCATGGTCGATAACCCCTGTCTAGAGTCATTTGTGAGGTTCCCATGGGTGAGAAAAGACCAGTTCTGGGGCTCCCAGGAAAGTCGATGCCAGGCCTAAGCGATCGAAGATGAGAGTCTCGCTTGACTGCCATTTTGAAGAGGACACTTTGGACTATCTATCCATGAAAAAAAATCAGACCATTTATATTTCAAGTTTTTGAGCAATAACCTGGTTTTCCAAAGATTTTAGGGAAAGATTTTGAAAATGATTTTCAGTGTGAAAAGATGCAGTTAGGTCCTAGCTTTCGATTAGTGAAGACCGCAAGCATCTGCCACTTTTCTGTCAAACGTTATTCAAAAAACATCCGAGTCCATTCTTTTTTTTACCGATAATATGATCATATATTCTACAACGTAGAGACAAGAGACTGCTTGACTTTCCTTTTTTTCTTTATTGAAAATTTTTATATAGCTGCCTCTTTTTACGGAATTCATGTTGATTAATGTCAAATCAAAAATCCACATAAGGCAAGGTAGAATAAAATTCTGTCACACGAGTGTCACTTGTGCACTTTATATAATTTTAAAATGCCGTTTGTCAAAAGATTTTTCAAATAATAATTTATGTTTCTGATCTCTTTTTATTTCGACAAACACTCGAGATCGGTGCCAAAGGAAAGCATCAAATCAAAGGACCAATACAAATGTGGAAGGTTTTGTATGAAGATTGGAAAAAAAGTTTAAAAAGTGACACTCTTTTCTACCATTTTCAGACACCGTTCTTTATTCCGACAAGTTTCTTTGCCTTGCAGACACGGTGACAATTACAGCAATACATTCTCATTTTTGTTTTTGACTGATATATTTTTGCACTTATGTACACCAAATAGAGAGAATATCCGTAACATAAAAAAAAAATAGAAATGGAATTTTTTCTAAAGAGTAATGGAATCTGTTGGAAAACAGAGACACACTAAATCTACAAAGTGATTAAGAAAGAAAAAAAATTGGCCGAAAGACGATGATGACAAAAAAATAGCGTTAAAAAAATAGATAGATCCCGGCATTAAAAAAAGTGATTAGCAAACAGAACACACATCAAATACGTACATAGATCCATTTCACAAAATGTGTTTTTCTTAAAAAAAATGCGTCGTCTATTTATCAGAATTTGAGAAAACGAAAAAAAATTTCAATCACTGTTCAATTATACAAGAGATAAAAGAGAGATAAACACCGGTTATAAAAAAACATGTAAAGAGTGCTACGTTCATAGAACTGTCGTCTGAGAATTAAAGATTGTTATACTAAGAAAAGTTCTGATTGATACGATTACTAAAACATTAATATAAATGAGCTATCATCTCGCTAATGTTATGTTTCCATTGTCTGTTGATTTGAGATCGTTTGTTGTGGTTGCTGTTCAATGTCTTTTTGTGACTGAGAAATATTCGTTAGAATTTCTGGTTCTAGTGGTTCTGGAAGTTGACTATTATCGACAGTTAACGTTTGATCAAGTAAATCATTATTACTATTTTCTTGTGATGATAGATGATATATACTTTGACTACTCGTTTCATCGATATCACTTGTTACTGTATCAATATCGACAAGTGACGGAGATTTATCTATATATAATCGTTTTTTATCAAATTCAGCATAACGTTGATAAGAATCATGAAGTAAATCGTTCATATCTGATGAGGATAATGTTAACTTTGCTCGAAAATCATCTGAAAACAAAAAAAAAAAAAAACGTCCAGAAATATGTTAAATTAGGAGAGATTGCATATAATGTATTCTTTTAAATATATATAAAAAAATGAAACATATCTACATGAACACACTTACTTAGATTTTGTTCAAATTTTTCACTATGATAATCAATATCATAGTATAAATGTAAATGTTCATTTAATAATTTTTTTTCAATATCACTTTCACCATCCAGATCGAATAATGGCACATTCGAATAGACTGGTTCACCACGCATATAATGAAGAAAATCTTCTTCAGATAGTCCAACATGTTGACCTTTTACTAATTCAATAAATCGAACAGCTGAGTCCTAAAAACGTTAGTAAGAACACATATAATCTCCATTCTTAGCATTAAAACTTCTCATTTGATTTACATACAAGATTTGCTAAATAGTAGGCTTGTTCTCCACTTGGCTGTGAAAAATTGCTTAAAAATTTAATATTCGAATGTAAACGTGGTGGTTTTGCTTTTAGAACAACATAAATTAGTGCTGGAAGAAAATTATCGGCATTTATTATCGGAACTTGACCATTATTTGCAGAATAAGATATTGAATGTCTAATAGCATCAAATATGTAGTCTTTACATTCCATTATAGACTGAATTTTATCTTGAGGAATTATTTTTGAGTCTAGTTCAATTAATGCTAGAAATAAAGAAAAAAAATGAGCAATTTAATTTAATTACTACAATCAAAAAGAGACTTAATCATTATCATTTCTTGCTTGTAGTTCGGTATTTTCGGCTGATATTTTTCCAAAAAAAATTCTCACCACAGAGGTTTATATACAAAGCAACATACAAAAGAACTGCCAACTATTCAGATTGATTATATTACGAATCAAAAATGTTAGGTTCATTGAAAGATATGATAATAAGTGCCACTGCATGCGACTTGAATTTGTTTCATCAACAATCGATCTGCTTAAAAAAATTAGAATAAAGAACTTTTTCGATATGATCAACGTTCGATTATTTTGAAATTATCGAAATACTTCTAATTTTCTGGTAAACTGTTCGAAAATCAATATTTAAAAAATTAGTTCTTTGCATATTTTACACTGCTAAATTGTATTTTTAGATTCAAATTAAATCTTTTTCTGAAAATTTCACCGCAAATGAATAAATCATTAAAGAATTACAATATTTGTTCTACTTGAAGGTAGAGTATCACTTAACATTTCACTGTTATCAAATAAAACTGATGATTCTTTCGTAAATATCATATGAGACAATTGATTGTGTATACAATGTGTATCAACGTCAGGTCTACACACGTATACATATAAATTCTTAAATTTGAAAATTTTCTCGTGTTCTTTTATAAACAATTCTTGTGTAATCATACGTACCATTAATAGCTTTATAAACTGACTCTTTAACTATTGGTATATTTTCATTGACAACTGTTTCAAGCATTTGTGCATTAATCCAATGTAAACTTGAAATTCGATTTTGAATAGATAAATCTTGTTCTTCACAGTCAATCGATAGACGATTAAAGATGAAAGGATAATTCTTTGTAAAAATAATCTTTTCCACATAATCTCGAACTCGTACTAATAAATCTTCATTTTCATCTAATTTAGAATAAAAAACGAATTTAGTTAGGAATATAAGAATAAAAAGATTCAGTTGTTAATATGGTGTTACCTCTATAAATTGAATTTGTTTGTATTCTTTTCTTCAAAATTTCTTTATATTGGCTATAGTTTTGACATAATTCGTCAATATTGATATTTTTATTTAAACACTTTTTATGAAAATTACTCGAAAATGCTTTAACAGAACGTTTAATATCTAATCTAGCATCATCCGTCGTCATTACATCCAAGTATTTATAAGCTGCATCTTGTTCCGATGTTTCATCGTTGAATAAGGCAGCACTTTGAGCTGAAAAAAGAAAGTAATCTTTGACAGTTAAAAAATTGAATCATTTTAGAATAAACGGTTACTCAGTGCTATACAGTTTATTTAAAAGCTTCATGCAGATCGATATATGTTTTAGTTTCATCTTTGTTCCTCCGTATTTTGCTCTTAATAAATTACAGTTTTTATTCAACGATGAACAACGTGTTGATCACTCAGTATGTCACTTTCTTCAGAAAACAAAAACACTCTCACTCTGATTAGAAGAACTTTTTCTATAAAAAATAGGGTGATAATTAAAAATCATTTCAGTTAACTAACATTTCAGACTTCCTGAACGATTGAGTAACATTTGTCTCACTGGATTTCTCATGCTAATATTTGATCGACGTTTTTCTTGAAAAGTCGAGAATGATGGTGACGATTGAACTGTTGATAACGGAAGAGCAGAATCATTGACTAATGATGGTGATGAAATTCTAAATAAAGCAAAATCATAAAATATATGTGAAACATATCGGTTGAAGTTCAACTATTTAATTACCCATGTTTTGTATCAAAATCTTCTTGTACTTGTTTAGCTTGTTGATAAACTTCACGATAACATTTACTACAAAAACCATCCCATATTTTGTTACCGTAAAATCCACAAGCATTTCGACATAATGCACCGTCTGGTTTCGCACTTGTATTAATCATTGTTGGATTATTTAGAAGAAAAATCCAAAAAATTAATAAATCTGAAATTAATCATCACAGACTTTGTTATATATAATTTCTCTTTTTATATAAAAGCTTCGACAACTACGTTGCAGCTAAAATCGCTCAGTTGGATCGAAACTGGCATTGCTATCGTTCTTCTTCATATGATATTCAATAAAAACGGTAAATGTAAATTAATATTTTATTGAAATCACAAATAGAACAAAATAAGCATTCCCTGTCGCAAATGTTTGGAAAAAATTGTTAGGGAAATAGTTATTCTTCAGTATTGTGTTTTTAAACAGTAGTACGTTTGACTGAATACAAAAAACATCCAAGAGATAAACAAAAAATAGCTCAAATCTTTCATAAATATTCAAATAGATAAAACAAGGAGGTAAACATCTCGATATTTAATCATATGTTAAAAGCACAAATTCTGTGCATGTCTGCATCTGTATAACGAACAGATTGGTGCACATTTTTAATCGTAATTTTTCATCTTCAGCTATTTTTTTACTGCTCTTACCATAATGCGTCTTTTAATAATAAATAAAAAATCATCGGCAAAAATAAACGTTAAGTTCTTGTAGCCATAAATGATGATTCAGAATATATGGTGTTTAAGCATAACTTTTCATTGGTGAATATTAAACGAAAGGATGACAATGGGAATGATGTCGCATGTTTCCAAGATGTTTTGGATACTAACAAAGATCAAGCACTAATTAGACATACGTCGAGATTTAACCTTGGCGTTATTTATGTTTAAAAAATTTGTAAAAGTAGTATAGGATGAGTTAAGCGTTGTATAAATGTATGATGTTCAGTTATATAAAATAAAGACTAATTTTTTCATTATGATTAAGATTGTTTGAGCAGATTAATACTATACTCATTGAAGATGTTTATACACGCACACGTTCTCAGTCAACATTTGTAAGGAAATTATATTTCGAAACAATATTCCTTTTTGTATTATAATTTCGGCCCACCGTAAGAGGCATTCTTTTCCTTTCTTTTCTGATACACCAGATCATGGTGCCAAGACAGAACTAATGCCCAACTTTTTTTAATGCCCTTTATTGAGAGCAGAATATTTCAGAAACTAAAAGCGATCCTTTTCTAGAAAATGGATCAGTATAGTGTACAACTCGTGTACTTCAAATCAGTATAAAAAGTGGAAAAGGATCTTCTCTAATTAATATAGTTTAGACTCGCGAAGTTGGCAGAATACGAAATAAATGTATAGTGGGCATTCTTCCTTGTCCATATAAAAGATGAACATTCGATTTAAAATTTGTTCGATTTCTTATTTTATTCTGTAAACAGAAAAATGTTCTATATAAGTACAATATAAAGAAGAAAAATAAATCAAAACGAAAGCGAAACAAGATCAAACAGAAAGCGGTCTCTTTCATGTGTAGAGTTAAAGTGCAAAGCTATTATACAATAAAACGCTCGATAATAGAGAAATAGCGATCGACCCACCGGAATATATTTTGAAACGTTCCCTAGAAGACACTAATTTTGTCTCGTGTGTCTTTGTCAGTGTGGCGCTGAGGTAATTAACACTGAATAAAACATGAAAAATGAAAGTAAAATTCACTAATTAACTGCTGTTCATTTTGGAATATCCATGCCGATTCAACTTTTATTGTACGGACATCTAGTGAGGGAAAAATATCCATTATTTTTTCTGTCGTTGGTACCATCGGATGACAACGGCCTCTACAGCATATTCTGTATATCTTTTATCACTCATTATACGTTGAATATTTAAAGAGAAACTTGAAATTTATTATTACAAGTTTTTCGAGCATCTTTTCAAAGCACAACTATTGATTGTAACAGAAATATACTGAACATCTAAGAATACACGAACGAAAGGCTTTTTCCCGAATGGTTAGATCAAACAAATAATCTGTGTGATTCGCAGTATCCATCTCGGGCATGCAAGATTCTCTTGATTCGCATACATTTGCACATGCATGCGGCTTGCGACTCGCAAGCCGCATGTTGCAAGTTGCGAGCTGTATGTATAACATGTATGAGACGTAGTTGTGTTCGTGCATGTACAGGCGCCTGTACGTATCAAGAAATTGGTCTTGGGATTGCTAAATAGTTCCTAGAAATACCGTTAATTCAACGTGAGCCAACCTTGGGGAAATTTTAGAAGATTTTATCGTTCTTGGAAAAGGTCAGTGTCATGTTTTTTATTGGTGCAAAAAGAGAAAATGGGTTTATTTATATATAAATGACATATATGTATATTATATATATGCAGGTCACAGAAATTATGTTTGCATGCACTGAGTTTGACTCATTAATGTATAGACCATAACATGTAGTGCATAATTAATTCTCGAAGTGTCGATGCCTATTTTAGGATTTATCCATTATGACAGAGACTTGAGCGTTTTTGTTTGAAAGAGCGAAGCCTGTAATATAAAACTTGTATCGAATAAAATCCTTTATGATAAAATTTCATAAAATCAACATTACAACGATTAAGAGCCAATAATTTGATTAGACTGCTGTTAATTTAAAAAGGAATATCATAAAATCAAACTTAGTTGTTTGTTGCATTTAGAAGTGTTTTGCACATCCTTTGGAATAATCTGTAGTGTTTTTCATTTGTAAACATTCGTTTTTGGTAAGAAAGTTTGGTTTTTGATTTACCGCTGAAAAATCAGTTAGATAGCTCGCCATTCTCACCGACGAGATGGGCTGCGCTATGTTTTTAACTCTTTATCAATGTTCATTCAATTTTCAGCAAAGTAGTGTAAAAGTCAGTATAAAAATTAACGATTGTGGCTCTATAGTAATAAGTATTTTTCGTGCTCTCAATATTATAGATGAAAGACTGATTTTTATCCAAACTAAGTTGTAGAACACATTTTATTTTATCATTAACAATGAAGTTAAAAACTATCTGACTGATAGAGAATTTTGTACATTACAATTTCATATGTTCAGTTATATTGAAAACTAATTTCATCAAATCACAGTGGAAAAACTAAATTTTTATTACTCATCAAGATCTTTCTTCATAACGTTTGGTATCCGAAAAAGCTAGTTCTCTACGGGTGTCTCAACTTTCTCTTCTAAATCTCTCTCTTTGTCGTAAATACTTTAGACTTCTACAGTTTTTCAAAATTTAGCATCGTCTAAGTCCTGTTTCACCTTTTTATACTATTCATCGTCCTCACTACTCATCTTTACGTCTTCATCACTCTAAATATGTTCGCATTCCATCTTCTGTTGATGGTTTTTCTCCGCAAACGGTGTATTCTTCTTTTTTTTATTCAACTATTGCTGATTGAAATAATCTCCTATAGTCAATTATTCATCTTCTTTAATGTCTTTCAAAACAGCTTTACTTCAGTATTTCTTCAAGTGAAATATTTGTCAGTTAAGAATTTATATTTGTTCTTTTTTGCTTATTTTTTAAAATTTTCTTTTTTACTACTTCTAGTACTAACCTTAGTCATCTTCTTTATTTTGTTATTTTTTATTACTCTTTTGGTGTTGTTTGACTTGAATCATTGTTATTACAGGTCGGTGACCTTTGATGACTCTCACTTTTTGTGAATAAAACAGTCTTAGTCTTAAGTTTCTAAATGAAATTTTACTATAAAGAACTTTGTTTCATCTATGGTTTGTATCGTATTTATTCCTTGACGATAATCAGACTTTGCTATTCAAACAAAAAAAAGTCTGATATAGGCGCCGACGTTTCAACAACTACCTGTGCACTGTGTTTCATGCATCTCCAGTATAATGTGACTAAACGATCTCAGACAAAGAACGAAATATGAACCCGTTCTACTAAATGTTATTTGGAGAAAGTAATTTTATGTGTGATATCTGCTGCTGTTGAAGGTCGGAACCATTTTTCTAGATCTGCGTGATCATTCGTCACCGAAACTGGATCTAGAAACACCATAAAATGTCGAATATAAAATGATATTTGCTTCACTTTTGAATACAATATAACGTAATGATTTCCTTCTGTTACAATATATTAATACATCGATATCCTGATATACTGCTGTAACAAAAGTGAAGAAAAAGAATCCACACAAAATCATATCGAACGAATCAGAAAAGCTTGAATCTCAAGTATATATTGAGAATCTGTTTTATCCTGAAAAAGCACAAAATCACGATTTTTATATACAATCTTTTATAATCGATCGATGGGTGAACGTCGACATGGCAAGGACTTTGGATGAATACATTTAAGTCACAATAGTATACTTCAACGTTCGATCACTTCTGTCTATACTGGCGATGAGTTTATCTCCTGTCTCGTTAGGTCAGGGTGAGAGTGGTACAAATTAAATTTTCTCAATATATACTTGAGATTTAAGTTTTTCTGTCTTCTCAGGACATCCTGACCTACCGATTTATAGATATATATACCGTTTCTTTTACAAGTATTATATTTCTATAATTTTCAAGCAAATATACATTTATATTAGAAACTGTAAAGGATAAGAATTTAATGCAGAATAGATCAATTAATGCGACTGTTTTGAAATCTTTCATTTCGGCAGGATATTTCGACCTGTTTATTCGGTCATTTTCAACATACTAACAACAAAAAACAGCAACATAACCTATACATGGCTCTTTGTTTTCTCTGACATGGATGGAAAACATGTGATACATTCCAGAGATCG